ACTCGGGGAACCTGGTCCTAGTGCCCTGTAGTGTATTTATAACTCCATGTTCTCATTCTTGGGCTGCTGTGCCGTGAGGTTACAGACCTGCCTGCTGACTGACTCGCCTTTGTTTCTCTCCCCAGGCTCCACCTTCAGTTTGGATGGGTTACTGGAAATGCTGCTTTAGTTGACTATGTCCTGTTTCCTGCATATTGCAACACCTTCACACTCCCATCCCACCCTGACATTGCTGACACCCCATCCTTCAACAACTTTAATTTGGCACAATTCTTTATTTGGTTTATTATATATGCCACAGTTGATGTCTACAGTTTCAAAGTGAGCATATACTGTGAAAATGTGTTCACAGTTACAGACAAAGTTAGACACCAAAATATATACCGTGTCACATCGGAAAGATGAAGTAGAGTCTAAGGCTGTGTTCGAAACGGAAGGCAGTTGCCTCGCTGCCTCGATACCGTAATAGACAGCTGCCTCAGAAGGCATCACTTTCAAGTGAAGGCAGCTCTGTTTACATTAGTTTCGAACAGCCTTCTAGGGCAGCACTTATGGCAACGTGTGTCGTCAGCACTCTCTTTCTCTCTTCCTTGTCATGGTGAACTCGGTCGTAGCCCTTGCGCTTAGACAGCTGCATGAATGGGAGGAAGAGGATGTCCGACAGAGAAGAGCCCACCGCAGATGTGTGCTGATGTTGGCAGCATACTCGCACTTGGCGAATATTGGTAAATTTAATCTGTTGCCTTCCTGAGGTGAAGAGACAACCGTGTTTAGCTAGCGAGCATCAGGCCAATTGTATCCAACGTCCAGTCTAACGTTAATAAGTAACAGTCAGGACTATAACGTTAGACTGTCACTTGCAACAGGGGAAAATCTGATATTTATAGAATGACCGTATTTATAAACAACGAGGTTGAGTCTAACGAAGTATTGACAATCACCAATAAGATTATGAGTCAGTTTTACGAATTGCTGAAATATTATAACTGTTACACTTATTACCAGTGTTTGGGCAGTGTTAATAACAGCATTTTTAGGGTTTTCTTAAAGAATGGCATTTAATTGGGAGCAGATAAACTTTGAAATATATTGTTGTTAAATACGTAAATTAATGTTAAATAGACATATAAGTAAATACATAAATCTCATTTATTCATTATTTACATGTCATCTGTTTCAGAGTCTCACAGGCTTGAACAGGGCAGTGCCCCTCCTCAGGCTTTTTGAGGGGGAGGACGCCCGGGCTGATTTTTGTCTCAGCAGAACCTCCATCACTGGTCTGCGCGAGTTGCTGGACCAGGAGAGGCACTATAGCTGGGGTCCAGCCATAGAGGTGCTGGTGTTCCTGTTCTGGCTGGCCAGCGGAGCTTCTTACCATATCGTGTCCCGGGCATTTGATATGCCCAAGACTACGGTGCATGACCTTGTGCACCGCATCTGCGAGAACCTTGTGTGTGTGATGCCACTAGTCATCAGGGTGCCGTCCACCGTAGAGGAGCAGAGGGAAGTGGCTGATGGATTTTGCTAGGCTGGCTGGGCATGGGGCCTTCGGTAAGACCGTGGGAGCCATTGATGGCTGTCATGTCAGGATCAAAGGCCCAGGAGAACCCCATGCCCAGTGCTACCTGAACAGGAAACTCTTTCCATCGATTCAGCTTCAGGCAGTGTGCAATCATGCTGGTCGCTTCATTGGTATCTTTGGACACTGGGCCAGCCCAATCACATCTCTTTCTAGCCCCCACCCCCTTCGCTCTCTGTCCCTTGCATTATTCCCCCCCCCCAAAAAAAAAAATCTTCATACAGAGGCTGCCAAATGTGCGAAAACAATCGATATGTCTGCTACCGGGGCTGCAGTAGCTTCAACATCAGCCGCAGTACCCTGCGTAAAGCAGGCAAAGGCACTTGAAGGAGTAAAGGAGAGCTGTGGCTGCTGACAGGCAGAGGAGGACGCTGTGTTAGCGAGTGACAGGGCTGAGTGAGAGGGCTTTCCGAAACTAGACCCTCGCCACTTCCACTCCGACACGGAGTGAACTCTGGTCGGAGTCTCCCTCACAGCCAAATCGAGCTCCCCACCCACGTAGGGTTTACATACAGTGGACAACTTTCGGACAAACTACCCTCTCCCCCCAGCGTAAATAGGATCTGACGTTACCGCTGTAGCCTAGGCCTACTCACTGCTATAATACCGGAATATCAAATAAACAACAGTTGTATTAAGATTCAGGATTGATGTTGAGGAATAGTGTGGTTTTTTTGCAATAACGAAAATGAAAGCATTTGTCATTAATTTTGTGTTTATGTTGAATATTTCTTTAAGAATGTGACTTTAGACATTACGAAAAATAAATATAATATAATATTTTATGAAAAGATTGATATTCATTGTAAAGAAAAGCCTAGGCTAAATATTTAAACATCTTTATCCTATATGAAAAATATTACATTCACAAATGCAGCATTTCAATCAGTCAAATATTATACTAAAGCATTATATAATCTGAAGAATTTAAAACATTTGTATAAAGACTTAGCTATTTTTCTTTAAAGCCTTTGTTGCTTGTTAGGTGATCCCCCTGTGTATCTAGTTATGCCATGTTCTATTCTGTCCTTTAATGTAGGCTATTTTATTTTTGCTGAAGATTTTCGCATGAGATGAATACGATTCCATAACAACAGCTTTATTATCAGACAAGAGGCTTTTTTAATTAAACACAATATAACCTTTGGGCTACGTTGTTGCCCTGTGAATGGTGATATGAAATGTTAGTGTAGTTTCGGAATTAAAAAATCCTATATGTTAACCGGCGACGTCACGCAGAACTCGCATTTGAAAGAAAGGTCACCCATCGTGCTGCAAAGGGTGTTACACCCCTTCAACAAGCCAGCATCGGTGCTCACTTGGCATCTGAGGGTTTAACAACCCACTACTCTATGTGGCGGACCCTCCGCATGAACGTGCAGACGGAGTGGAAGTAAGTAGGGAGAGGGAGGAGCAAGCAGTTTCGGAAAGACCCAGAGAGTGAGCAGGAGGAGAGTGGAGGTGAAGCGGCAAGCATGAGTAGCTCAACCTGTAGGGAGGGAGCAGGGAGGGAGGGTGATTACACTGGGTCGCCCGGTCATTTTTCCTCAACAACAACATAAAAAATATTTTCCATATTAGGCTAATATGCAATAATCCTCATCACGCAGCCTGTCTCACAGCTCTTCAAAGAGCGGAGGCTACTCGCAATACTACTAATATAAGTATTGAGAGAATAACATGACACACCTGTCGCTCTCTTTGCTGGCTCTGTCCCCCTCGCTCAGAGACACTTTGTTCTGTTTTACTGTCTCTCTGCTCCAGGATGCTTAATTCCCTCTGTAGCAGCTATGAGCTGCACTTTATCAGAGGTGCTGAAGTGAACATGTGTGTATGTGTGGTGATATTTCTGTCTGATCACAAGTGTTTTCACTTTTGGTTTTCTACCTCTGATAAAGAGCAGTGAGCTGTCTTATACAGTAGTCCCAGACGGGCTCTGGGCTGTCAGACGGTCTAAAGGGGGTAGCAGCCTACTACCATATCAGCAGAGCAATAATGCAGCAGTGGGGCAGGTAGATTTTGTTAAAATATAATGACTTCATTCTCATTATATCTCATAATATTATATCTCAAATTGTCATCACAGATATGTGGGAGAGATTTTCAATGCGCAGAAAGTTTTGAACATGAGCAGAAAACCTGCTGAAACATTGGAGCTATTAAGGTGCAGGGGTTTATAACTGAATTAAAATGAATTCATTTATCATTGAGGTGAAAAGGTGCAACATGCACATTTAAAGACTTTAGGTTACTTCAGTCATGCCTGCATGTGTGTTGACTCAACTGGGATGAAATAAAATGAGAAACAGGAGAAACATATTTGACAGCAATACAGAATGCCTGAGAGCCTTACAGCTCTTTATTACACTATATTTTTATTTTTTGATTTGTCACCTGAATTTTGTTTCCTTTTATATAAATAAAGACATTTTGTCAAACCCCTAATCTAAGCCCTTAACAGCAAGGATGGTGTATTGGTGAGGGATGTCCGAGCGATTTTGGTGGGTCGCCTGGGTTAAAAATGCCATTTTTTGTCCCAGTCCAGCCCTGGATGACCCTACATTGAAATAAATCACTTCATTATGAACATTCATTTCATCCATTACAAGACAATCGGGTAAGCATTTCAGTCTAGCTTTAGCGTAATAGACCCAGCTAACATTAACCTATTGAAAGTCAAATGGATAATAGACACCTCAGAAAACATACAAAAGCAACTTTGGTTGGTTACACTCATGGGCTAATAAGATAATACGACATTTAGTACTCGCTCACTTTTACATTTGTAGACGAACGCCGTCTGTTTATCTCCCACCTCGTCCGGTTTGTGTCAACTGCAGCAGACGCTGGCACACAGATTTATGGGTAATAGTCAGCATCAAGTCAGCATCGATGCTGCCTTCAGAACTGACTGTTACTGGGGCAGTTTGAAGGCATCTCAGCCAAAGTCTAAGCCATGGAGTCTAGTTTATGTTCCGGTAGGTTTACCGTGAGTAACTTATGAATAGTAAAAAAAAACATCATCAGTCAGCCCAAAAGGAGAGTATGAAAGCAAATCTCAGAGTAACGGGGTCCTATTTAGATAGTACTAAGGCAGTGGAATCAAAAAACAATAAATATAGGCCACAGTGTCCATGCTGGTGTTGATTGTTGCATGTGAGAGCACCTTCTTGGCAGCGGTGGGGGCTGCCTCTGCAGAGGACACAGACATGGTCCGAGTCTTGAGACAAAGCAGGATACGCATACAACACAGGTCAGGTTTGACCAGATCTGCATATACATTTAAAATAAGATTATGAGCCGCTAGGTTTAGCTTTTACTTCCTGAGTCATGCAGCCTAGCTTGTCATTGTCATACAAGAACCTGTTTTTCTAGACTGAATCTTAGCTGCACCCACTTCTAAGGACTTACTCAACAGCAGCTGAGCACTATAAATCATCATAGAGCTAGTACTGAGCTTCCGTACAAGCAGCACACAGTAACTGACAGTCGGGACATCTGAAGTCTTGTATTTTTAAGCAGGAGGAGTGTAAAGAGATAATGGTAAGTAGAATCAATAACTGTAAAATATTCTACAAGGAAATGTATTGGTCATCTATATACCAACAGGTACACATTTTAGTATGAACTGATTCACGTTTGTTTTCAATGAAATTTTTCAAAGGTCTTACTCTTGGATTATGGGATGGTCATCATTGTGCTCACAGGTTGGTGCCTCTTGTTTGATTGTTCTGCTGTATGTGAACTAAATAACATGCGCTGATAGTCTGGGGTATGGCTCACGGCTGACAGCAGATGAGCCAGTATTCTAACAATCTAATAGATTCGATACTCACTTTTTGCCCCCATCCATCCCACACGTGTGGACAAAGAACTAAATTTGAATTCAGAGAAAAAAATCCTTGGTGGTGAACACTCTGATAAATACCCTTTGTCAGTGCAGGCAATGGTATTTTAATAAAAAATATGAACATAAGGTACTGCCCCAGATGCTCAAGTCTAAAGGAAGGAAGCATCCTCTCATCAAAGCCAGGCCTGGAGAGTTTCAAGGGCAGAATTATTCTCCATTTGTTGCCCCACTCCTCTGTGATTGAGCCAATGTAATTTATAATGAAAGAATTATCATATGTAGATAAATAAGCTGTCTTCACTCAGTAGTTCATATAAAGTAGTTTTTCTAACAAATTCAGACAAAGAGTACAACTTATAAGACAGGAAATAATTAGAACTGTTGAACTGGTTCTTTTTTCATTGTCAGCGGTAAACAGTGAACCAATGTACTGAAGCAGACTGAAACTTGATCTGACTTCAGTTGATAGACAAAGTATTAAGGGAGTAGACATTAAATCCAGCACAGCTGTTAAATTCAGCTTCAGTGGAGCATTCATTGTTTCCATGCTCTGTAGTCATGAGTAGTCACGAGTGTACACTGCTCGCATACAAAAATCTCATCATCAAGGAAAATGTATTATAAAACCCCACAGTACAGCTGAACCCATCTGATGCATAGTGCCTCTTCATGTTCACTGTAAAAGAGTCTTCATGCTTTATAAAAATATAAGTAATTAAAAACTGAATATTCTTTGTTTCAGGAGCACTGGTCAATGTTGCCTCTGCCCAAACTCGTCAGTACTACTTTGAGAGTACACCACTGAACTGGACTGAAGCTCAGAGCTTCTGCAGACAGGTCTACACTGACCTGGCCACCATAGAAAACACAACTGATGTCAGTGCTGTACTCAGGACCACACCAAGCTACACAGGCAAGTTCTCAATATTGGAAAAATATATAGAACATAAACATACTTTTGTATAATCATATACATACATAACAGCCAGGAAACAACCAAGTTTTTGATAAGTGTACGTAATATTATGGAATGTGAAAGAACAACAAAGTCCCTCAATGAAAAATAGGGGAGACACACAATTTAAGGGATATTCAGTAAAGTTATTCACATTTTAGTTTTTTCAGCAACTGTTTTAATTCCAGCTGTTATTTAATGAACATCTGTTTGAACAGGAAAGGCTTGGATAGGTCTCTATGGCGACAGCTGGAGATGGTCTCTGAATGACAGCAGCTTCTATGGTGAAGGAGAGACAGAGTTTAGAAACTGGGCTCCTGGACATACCAGAAATCCTAATGGACAACAGCTCTGTGTGGTGCTTCAAAGCTTTTACTATTACTATGACTATTTATATTTATATTACAATTACTTTATCTACAATGGAAAATGGTCTGAAATTGCTTGTGACATCCAACGGCCATTTGTGTGCTACAACGGTGAGTTTTCTTGTAGCGTAAGAATTAACAAAAAGCTAAATAGCTCGTAATTAATTTCAATAACTTCTCTTCATCATTATATTTCCAGGTACAGCAAATGGCACATCATCCTTTGTAAAAGTCAACTCACCTTTGAAGTGGACTGAAGCTCAGAGCTACTGCAGGGAGAATTATGTCGATCTAGCCAGGTACAGTGTGCACTGATGAAGACTCCAAGACATGCAAGAGTACTGTACTGAACTAACTACTTAACAACCACTATCTGTTCTGTTGATGAAACTCAGATTATTCAGTTTTGTGTTGATTGGAATCCAAAATGGATTGGAAAACTGTTTTATTCTTTTTGTAATTTGAGTCCTTCCCTTCCTCTATTTGTTCATTTAGTAATATTTTATTAAAATTTCTTTGCTTGTAAGTTATAAATTTTTCATTATTAGTTTTATGATTGTAAGGCACTTGAAGATGGGTCAAATATGTAGTGACACGGCCAGGTCTCCTTTGTTCCTTCATAAGAAGGGGGGGAGGTGAGTTTCTCACCTGCAGAGCAGACTGTCTGACTCAAGGGCCTCCGACCCCAAATCCAATGTCGTTGGAACAAGGTCTACTACATGAAATTCTTTGTTTTCTCCTGAGTGCTGTTCACACAGACAAACTGAACCCATATGGCGGTGACTTGCATTACCCTAAAAAAGTGTTATACTTGCGCGAGGCAAACAAGGACAGGTATGTCACCTTTAGTATAACTAGCGTTAAGTTAATTCAAAACAAGATAAGGTTTCAAAAGTAATAGTTGTTGGTTGCTTCTTAATCAAAAGATCCATATGTTAAACAAGGTAATAACTTTAAACAAAATAAAACTTTTGTGTTTACAAACACAGAGATATTTGGTATGGATGTGTGTACTGTTGCTGAAGTTACCTCTACAAAAGAAAGAGGACCAAGAAGAGACAGTGAAGTAGAGAACTGTAGTGTGTATGGTAGGCCTAAGTATGTATTGTAGCATGGTTACTTATGACCTAATACATTTATGAGAATTAATACAAATAATTCAGAGAATATTAATTCATAAAGCTCTCGTTTCGCGGGGCACCACCGGAGATTCAATTCACCCAGAGTATCCGGAACTCTGGGTAGCATTTAAGCATAATAATTATACAATTATTCACTAGTGGTCAGTTAGTTAATAATCGCTCAATTGTCTTAAATCAATCAGTCAGTCTCATATCGAAGGGGTAAATTCTCGTGGCAGGGAGGTTGGCAAAACACACACAATTCCTTTGATCACAGTGAAGTTTATTAAATAACTAAGGTGAATATAAATGCGGTTACATATACATCAAAAAGATAAACAATGGCTAAACAATGAGAATGTGGAGCTCTATTGTGGGATGAACTTGATTCATAGGGAGAAAGAGAACTAATGAAAGCAGTTAGATGATACTAACTCGGTTAAATTTGTCTAGGAGTTTTAAGGACTAAAGATACTGGATTAACAGACTATTGGACATCACTGATCACAGAATGCCTTGTTTTGCCGTCAGCCTGCCTTGGCCTGTTGCACAGGTCCCCACGCTATCTGCCCGATTCCTGGCTTTCTGCGAGGGAATTTTCCGGGGGTTCTCCATGTCTGAATGAAGAAAAACACTCCAGTGGCGACCGTCCTCGGTCTGGCAATGAGGCTGTTCTGTTTGGATGTCCTTTGTTACTTCTGGCAAGACAGGCCCACGTGGCTTCGGTGGGAGCAGTGTAAGGTAGCTCGACGGAATAAAGCTTAAAAGAACTTGGTCGTTCTTGAATTAAACTAGTGTAACTTAACAGTCTTTTACCTTTTAACAACAAAAGAAAAGAAAAGTCAAAGCAAGTAAATTTGCTGGAAACGAGGGAAAAATGGAGGTCGCGGTGCTTCGCGTGCTGCGCCGGGTCGAACTTCTTAGGCCGTTGCCGGGAGACGGGGCAGTAGGAGAGAACAAGAACAAGAGAGAGCGTGTCGCTGTTTTTGTCTGTTGAGGTGTGGTTCCCAGAGGGAGGGCTTGTTTCCGGACCGTCTTTTCTTTAACTTTTAATATGTCTAATCAAAACCTATTTGCGTGTATTGTAATCAAATATCTTCCCACAATCAAACCTTAATTGTCAAACGGTTATACCGTTGTTAGTTTTAAGCATTTGATAAAAAGGAAAACAATTGTCAGTAGTTCAACCTTAAGAGAGAGATCTCCCTCTCCTGACTGAGCTGAATCTATGGAATTAATATAGTCCCAAATGCATTGTAGCTGTGTGAAAATGCTTTGTATATGTGTGGAAAATGTCTGCATGTGTATCTGAATATCAGAAAAATCCAAAGTTTACAGGTATGGATCAATTCTACAGTTACAAAACAAACCTACAGTTACAAAACAAACCTACAGTTACAAAACAAACCTACAGTTACAAGTACTTTTGCATTTTACCTCATCAGTTATACTCACCCTTGATGTGTAAATGTGGTTGTTCCCTCACAGTATACGAAATCGGGCAGAAAATTACGTCATCACAAAGCTGACAGGTGCTGACTCTGTGTGGATCGGTCTGCACTGGGAACGACTGTGGTCTGATGGGAGCACCTATCCGCTTCAGTACTGGGCCAGTGGGCAACCAGACAGCGCAGGGCAGTGCGTCACCACATCATTCAGAAACTCAGGACTGTGGTCAGATGATAACTGCTCCCTCACTTTCCCGTTCATCTGTTACTCAACAAGTAATGCATCTTTTTGCTGCTTTATTTAACAGCCACATATCAGCAAGAAAACAGCTGAAACTAACATTACAGACAATCTGTGACTGTGTCTGTGAATCCTTTCAGTTTATCTTTTCCGCACACTGATGCAGAAATACATTTGCCTATGATTATATACTACATATTACTAAATCGATGTCAGAAACATTTAAAATTTTAAATAAAATAGCCTGTTATTGTTATTATTATCACAACACATCAGTGATTCATTTTAAGATATGCTTCAAATATTATTCTAATGTGCATCATAATTATTGAATAAAATATTGATTTATTAATTAGATTATTAATTATTATTAATTAGCCCCAGTCAACAATAAGACTCAGTTTAGCTGTAAATGTACAGTGACTAATGGATCGAGACTGCAGCTTCTCATTAAATCGGAGCTATCGTGTGTAAATCCACTTTCATGCAAAGTTGTTTGTGGATAAATTCATTCCCTTCTTTTCTTCTGTCTCAGCTCCTCCAAAAACAGAAGACTTCAGATCAATAGGGCAAGATGAGACCAGTATCACTTTGCAGTGGAACAAAGTGAACAACAACATCAGCTTTATTCTCCAGTTTAATGATGCAGAGATCAACATCACTGCACCAGATGGAGATGGACCAGTAACTCACACAGTCTCATCTCTCACTGCTGCAACTGAATACACATTCACTCTCTTCTCTGTGTTTGAGAACGTCAGAAGCAGTGGAGTAAACATTACTGCAGTTACCGGTAATATATGTCACTTTATTTCTATGTTCTGTATCTGCTTAGCGAGCCATCATCTGCTTTTCAGAGCACCAGTGTAAAACTAAGACGTTTCTACTGGGTATAATATTCATTACAGGAATGTGCTACTTAACAACATGCACTTTATTGCATGTTAATTTAACTCAGCATTGTTTTGGCCAACACTGTAAAATATTTTTTTACATTAAGAATGATTTCTTTTTAAACTTTTGGTGCATTGTTATTCTTCATTTATCATAGAGTACATCTCTGTTGTGATATAAAGTGTGATGGATATGACTACAGAATGTGACATCTGGATCCAGAAAACAAAACATTCTTAATAATACAAAGAATTGTTTCACTCGCTCTGTTCCTGACAGACAGCTTTAGTTTGTATTATTATTATTATGTGAAGATACAAAATAAACCATCTTGAACTGTCAGAGGGAACATTTTCACTTTTACTGACAGCCATTACTTAAAACGTGTTTAACTGCTCTATGTGTCTCTCTCAGCTCCTCCAAACGCAGAAAGCTTCAGATCAATAGGACAAGATGTCACCAGTATCACTCTGCAGTGGAACAAAGTGAACAACAGCTTCAGCTTTATTCTCCAGTTTAATGATGCAGAGATCAACATTCCTGCACCAGATGGAGATGGACCAGTAACTCACACAGTCTCATCTCTCACTGCTGCAACCGAATACACATTCACTCTCTTCTCTGTGTTTGAGAACGTCAGAAGCAGTGGAGTAAACATTACTGCAGTTACTGGTAAGATAACTTCATTAATGTGTATTTAACCGGGAATAGCATTTTAATCTTGCAACATGAGAAGCTATTGGAAAGTTAGTTATAGTTACCAGCAGTATTTTTTAATCTTGTTACATTTGAACATTTTCCTTTTTCCTTCTTCATGTAATTAAGTTAACTTCATGTTGTCTTTGTTTCTTGTTTTTTCTTCTTTCTTTAAAAGGAAAATGTTAACATAAAATTACCTTGTATTTTTGTTAACTTATTTTCTTTTTTGTATAAATTCAAAATGTATGCTTTTTTTCAGTTATGATGAAACTTAAGTCTGTCTGATTTTCAAGAGATATTAACAAATTATCAATATATCTTAGAATATTCTTCTTTCCATGTAGATGTAAAACGTCTTATTTAAAACATATCTGACTCAGTACTGCATATACAGTAAGTATTTCTGCAAAATCATTGAGACAAAAAATGACAAAAAATTGTTGGTAGTTGAACATTTTTTTGTCAGTGGTAAACAGTGAAAACATTTACTGAGACAGGCTGAAACTTGATCCAGTTTAAGATGATAGACAAAGTGTTAAGGCACTAAACATTAAATCCAGCACGTCACAGAGCACTAATTGTTTCCATGCTCTGTAGTAGCATGATATAGTGATAAACTGCTAGCATACAAAAATCTCACCAAGGAAGATGTATCGTAAAACACCACAGTGCAGCTAAACTAAACGAGTCTACCTGCTTTATTAAAAAGTGAGTAATAAAAAACTGAATATGCTTTGTTTTAGGAACTCGTCAGTACAACTTTGTGAGTACACCACTGAACTGGACTGAAGCTCAGAGCTTCTGCAGACGGGTCTACACTGACCTGGCCACCGTAGAAACCATAACTGACACCTATGCTATATTCAGCACCACATCAAGCTACAGAGGTAAGTTCTCAATATTGGAAACATACACTGAACATACACATAAAATATATATACTGTGTATATATATATTTTATGTATATACAGTATATATACAGTGTATATATATATATATATATATATATATATATATATATATATATATATATACTGTATAATCATATACAAACACAACACCCACGTTTTTGATAAACGTCCTGTTACTATTAATACTAAAATGATAAAATATGATATTATGGAATGTGAAAGGCCCTCAAAGAAAAAAAGGGGAGACACTTAATTTAAGGGATGTTGAAGTTATTTACATTTTAGGTCAATTCAGCAATTATTTTAATTCCAGCTGTTACATAATGAACATCTGTTTGAACAGGCAAGGCTTGGATAGGTCTCTATGATGACAACTGGAGATGGTCCCTGAGTAACAGCAGCTTCTATGGTGAAGGAGAGACAGAGTTTAGAAACTGGGCTCCTGGACATACCAGAAATCCTAATGGACAACAGAACTGCGTGATACTTCAAAACTACAAGTATTCTGACTATATGGATTACTACAATGGAAAGTGGTGGAATGTTAATTGCAACATCCAGTTCTACTCTGTGTGTTACAACGGTGAGTTTTCTTATAGCGTAAGAACAAAAACCTAAATAGATCTTCTGCATAGCACATTGTTAATAACTTCTCTTCATCAATATATTTCCAGGTTCAGTAAATGGAACATCATCCTTTGTAAAAGTCTACACACCTTTTAATTGGACTGAAGCTCAGAGATACTGCAGGGAGAATTACGTCGATCTAGCCAGGTACAGTGTGCACTGATGAAGACTCCAACACATACAATAGTTCAGTACTGAACCAACTACTTAACAACTACTATCTGTTCTGTTGATGAAATTCAGCTTGTTCAATATTGTGACAGTTGTTTGAATCCCAAATGGACTGGAAAATCTGTCAAAATCTTTTACTTGATCCTTTTTGTCATGTGAATACTTCACTTCCTGTGTTTTTTATTTTTTAAATTGCTTTCCCTATTGCCCAATTATGTGTATTTCATCCTTAGTTTTGTGACTATAAGGTACTTGGAGTAACGTAGTTTGATGATGATTACAACCAGTATTAGTAATAGTATTATACCTTAGTTTTAATGCGATTATTGCCATCAAAATTGTATAGTGCTGGTGAGGGATTAAGCAAATAATTGAGTTCAACAAACCGTTGTCTTTGAAGAATTTATTGATAAAAGAGAATAACAGAGAAGTACTACAACACAAAATCAGCTGGTCCAGAGATCTGCCACCTAGGGCAGCTTCGGGCGTCTGGCCAGAGCAAAGGGATGCATAATACACAGTCTACGTTTCTATGTTTTGGGGAACAGATATCCTCTCCCGGCCTTAAATGAACATTCAAGGAGAGGAGAGGAACGAAAGGAAAGGAAAACACAAAACAATCTCACAGTTCTTACCTAAATTAGCCATTAACCAATTAGCCATTTTCCCTCCACGGTGTCATGTGACTTGTTATTGTTACAAGGTCTCAGGTTTGAATGGGGAGCAGGTGTGTTAAATTTGGTGTTATCGCTCACACACTCCCTCATACTGGTCACTGGAAGTTCAACATGGACAGGCCATCCTGCCAGGTTGCAGATCATAAAGTAAGACAAAATAAAAACCCTTGACCTGCGGCCGGTTCTGCCTGAAATGGACCGGCCATTTGGGACTCTTCCTGAACTTCCAGTCTGCCCCTGGACATAAACAATAATAGTAATAATAGAAAAACATGCATAAAAGATTAAATGTAGGGAGAAACAATTTTCTGCAATTACAATTATATTGCACTGATTTTATAAGATGTTAATTAACAGCTACGTTGACATATTACCAAATTCTTAAAAATCACATAAGCTACGAGATTACATTTCATACAGTTTCAAATTTTTTTTATCATTAATGCTAAACATCTTAAGATATACTCCACTCACTCTTGATGTGTATTTGCTACTGCTTCTATCACAGCATACGAAATCAGGCAGAAAACGACGTCATCACAAAGCTAGCAGCTGGGGATGATATGTGGATCGGTCTGCACTTGGAACGACTGTGGTCTGATGGTAGCACCGTGCTGTTTCAATACTGGGACGGTGGGCAACCAGACAGCACAGGGCAGTGCGTCACCACAGCACTCAGTTACTTAGGACAGTGGTCAGATGATAACTGCTCCCTCACTTTCCCGTTCATCTGTTACTCAACAAGTAATGCATCTTATTTCTACTCACATACTGTAAAGAGATTCATTGTTGCATTAAGTCTACTTAGTTATATATTATTAGCAAATACACTATATTTAACATCAGATTCACAATGAATTTAGATTTGTGTACATGGGCAAGACTGTTAAAGCAGAAACAAGAATGGTCTTCATTTTTACTGTTCTTCTGCAAAATGCTGTTCAGAAGGTTATATACAGCAGATAAACCTGTGGACATCTAGTGATCCTGTTGTAACCTGCACAGTTTTTAAAAGCTACATTCCTAATCAAATTACTTTCTTGTCTGTAAGGTAAATGTTTGTGTTCTATAAAAATGTTCTCAGACACAAAACAACAAAAATCAAGTCAAATAAAATGAAAACTCATTGCAGAAATCTTCTATTGAAATTAAGAAAAACAACAAATACCATAAAAACTTTCATTATACAAAACATTAACTATCTATAGCTTACTTAAATGTTTCTCATCAGCAGAGCTTGACATTAACACCCACCAACCTGACAAATGCAATTGGACTTCAGCTGTGGCGGGTAACCCAGTCACTCCAACTAGCGACTTTGCCGTGTTGAAAAATTGTAGTCTTGTAAAAAGGCATCTGAAATAAAAAACAAATTGCAGTGTGACACTAAGACACCACAACTCCCATACTACTTGCAAATAGTGTTTGCTCATTGGTCCATTAGTGAAGCATATTGTCTTGTGCACAAGTGATCACAGCGTTCAGTCAGTGCATGAGTGTGCGTGGCCGAGCAATGTGGGAAAAAAATGCACAGGACAACGAGAGAAATAAAAAGGGCTGAGAGGGAGAAAGGCAGGAGGAAGTGCCATTAAAGGCTGTAAAATTTCACAAGTTCAATTAATCTTTTACACACAGTGCAGCACTTTTATTATATGTCAACATGATGCACTAAAGTGTGAAATCAAACACCTGATGAATGAAAAGTCTTGTCAGTGTGTAGCGCTTTCTCAGTATCAAAAATCAGGTTCTTTTCACACAAAGTTCATTCACTTCTTCTTCTGTCTCAGCTCCTCCAAACGCAGAAAACTTCAAATCAACAGCCCAAAATGAGACCAGTATCACTCTGCAGTGGAATAAAGTGAACAACATCATCAGCTTTATTCTCCAGTTTAATGATGCAGAGATCAACATCACTGCACCAGATGGAGATGGACCAGTAACTCACACAGTCTCATCTCTCACTGCTGCAACTGAATACACATTCACTCTCTACTCTGTGTTTGAGAACGTCAGAAGCAGTGGAGTAAACTTTACTGCAGTCACTGGTAAGATGTTTGACTTCATGAATGTGTATTTAACGAGGCATAACAACTTGAGGTTAATAGTGTTGTATTTTTCAGTGAACCTTTCATTCATTTGACCTAATCTTTTACATGACTAGGGAGGAACATGTAGTCTCAGTGAGAAATTTGTTCATTTTCACGCATGCGTGAATGGTTTTGGACTACGTTTACTTGGTACACGACAGCTGCATGGGCTCCATCAGCTATGGAAACAGAATTGATTAGTTCGCCACTCATAGGCCTCCCTGTGGTTCTCTGGATTTGAGTTGTGGAGCAGGAATTACCATTTAGTTCCCCACTAACATGGGTCCTCGGAGTCTTTCGTTCATTCGGCAGGCTGAGTTACTGCCAGCGCTGGAGAATAAGGCAAGCCGGTTGTCACATAACAGTCACTTGAGTGACATTAGATGGATAGTTTGTTAATTAGCCTATATGACATTTAATACAACATAATGTCTTTATAGTGCAGTGATGATGTGCTATAGCGTTAACACAGCCATACTGCAACGTTAGTGCTGCTAGTGTTTACAGCTAACAGCTGATGAGAGTTATTCTTGGTCCGGTCCACTTCAGTACCCTGGCAGGTTCTACCAGGAGCCGAATTACCTCCAAGGTAGTCTCCTCTCCAAAACAAACGGACCCAGTCATTAAAATATTAAAACACCCTTAACACAACCACAAAGTGCTGCGGTGTGTTTACAGCTAACAGCTGACCCGTGCTGTTGTTTCAAAGCTCTTGACTTCTGAACAACCTGGCAGTGTTTGAGAGCGACGTGCTCATGTTTGTTTCTCTCTGTCTGCAGAATCCACACCTGATGTGCCTTATTCTGCATCCAGACCTGCCAAACTGCTGCGTTTTGATTATGTGTTTATATTTCTTTGTTCCCCCCTCTGTGCTGGAGTTCTTTTAAGAACTTGATGGCCCTATCCAGATCTTTATTAAATTTGTTGAATTTTAATAAGAGTGTGTTTATTTATATAGTGTGTCAAGCTTATTACTTCAATATATTCCCCGTAAATCTGATGTTATTAAATAGATTTTACTCATGGATAGGGACGTTAGGCTGCTGTATGAATGACCACTTTAGAGATATAATGATAGTAATTCTTACTGTGTATATATATGGCTGGTGTGGTTGTATACTCATTTGTGAAAATGGATGGATTTAGCCGGAGTAGTGGCAATTCATTATTGACATCATATTTCTGTGGTTTTTACATGGTTTGAAATTGGTTGTGGTAACATGATAGAGAATGATCAAGAAGTGAATTTGTGCATTATACTGAACCTTCTGTGTTTTTCACATCGCCCACTAGAGGGCTGCAGCGCCGCAATAACCAGCCTAGTTCAAATGAATGAAATGACTCAAAAAAGATTAGTTAATTTTATTGAACGATATTCAAAGATTCAATTCAGCAAAAAGACAAATTTTTCCCATCGTTAACAGTTAATAGTACTTACTAGCAGTAGTGGCTTTTTTCCTTGTCACATTTCAACGTTTTTCTCCTTCCTCCTTCATGTAATTAAGTTCATTCCATGTTGTCTTTGTTTCTGAGCACCTTAAAAATGACAATGTTAACATAACTTAACCTTGTAATTCCATGTCAATATATTTACTTATTTTCTTTTTTGTATAAGTTAAAAATTTACATTTCATTTTATTTTCTGTTATGATATATCATGCAACTGAAGTTTGTCTGTCTGATTTAAAGAACAAATTATCAAGTCATCTGAAAATATTCTTTTTTCCATGTAACCAAACATCTCTGACTGTGTCCTACAACAGAGGGGCCTTGTAAGTTTATGCATTTGTTTCATTCATTACATGGTCTGAGCCTTTGCCTTGAGTGCCCAATTCAGAAATGTATTTTCATCAGCTTGATTGTAATTGATATCATTATCACTGTATAGAGATTTAGTAATACACATTTATATTATTTCTCTCATATCTTATGTTTCTTTAATTTGTTTTTCATTATTTAGTACGTGTTCACTTCAACTGTTGTTGCTAAAACAGAAATGAGTCTGTTCATTATGCACCATATGGATTTTTCCCTCACCGTTCTGATAACCGATAATATCGTCACATTTTCTTAAATTAAAAAGAACTTAATAACCTGTAATTTGCACTTTTTTATAACAACAACTGATGGTAAGAAAGGCTGAGATGTCGTATGCAGCAAGATTTATAATTTAATATTGCAATAATTCTTCTAGTCTTCATCAGGCCACTGAGTCGTCAAACTAAGCTAACTCATTGGGCTAAAGTCAGAAGTCCATATGTCCGTGGTAAAATATGTCACTCACTTTGGTATCAGATGCAACAAGCATTACAACAGCATCGATGCACATCAGCCAAAATTAATTTTCCGATATGATTCTGATAATGAAAATACACCCAATATCGGCCTACTTCACAATTTAATAAATACATAACATGATTTCACATATTTTTAAAGTAGTATTGTGCATAGAAATTACATGTGAGACTTTTTCAAGTGTCATGAATTAAACTATATATTAAATATAATAACTGAAAGCATAAGCCTATGCAAAGACAGTATTTATGGTTATTATTTTTCAAATGATGTTGAATACTATCTTATATTAATGGGATCCATTACCATGTGTATTATCATGTGTAACATATTGTGTATTTATGTCAGCAGATTATGTTCTTGCCCTGAACGTGGAATTAGAGTCATTGACTCAGCTGTCAGACTCGGACTTGCAGAGTGTGTTGGAGGAGGTGAGACTAACTGTTTGTATTCACTTTTAATTCAAATAATCCAAATAATCTACATCTAATTATTTTGATCAGCATTAATATTGTTTTTTCTGTTGTGTGTGTGTGTTTGTGGCTTTTTTAAAATCTAGCTCTTCAACCAATACGGACTGTCCCCACAGTTGTCCTTCAAAGTGTTGAGACGAAAAATCAGAAGAGACTAGATGAAATCAAGGACAATGGATCTGCAATTGAAAAACTTTTTTTTAATTTATTTAGTTATTTAGACTTTTCACATTTCCATGATAATTGTCATCATTCTCCCATTTATATGCCTGTGAAAATAAAGAATATGTGAAAATTGATCCTATAACCTGCATTTCACCTTTAAAACATTAAATTTTAGTATAGTTAAATTTGTGTATCATTCATTCTTTTGATATTTACCCGGGAACCAGGAAACCAACCAACGCGAATCAGAAAAATTCCACAGTGGAGGATTTAATGGACTTGGAAACTTTCATCGACAACTATTACAACCAGCAAAACAATATGGACATGGACTCAGTAATTAGTAACTCTACACCAAACCCATCAAAAAGAAAAAAGACAGACTCTTCAAACAAAACTATCCACAGAATACACCTCACTCAATACAAAATGTTTAAAATGGGACTGGTCGATACCAATATCTGTTCTCAATGCCCCTTAGGTATAACAGACAATTATCTTCATGCTACTTGGACCTGCCAACCAGTTTACTCTCTTTGGGCAGCAGTAACTAACAGACACTACACAAATTACTCTACCAAATAAATATAAAAACCCACTACTTCTTTCTCTAGATGTTGCTAAGAAAGTAATCTTTCAAAACTGAAAATCCAAGAATTCTTGTCACATATCTCAATGGATTAATTTACTTACAGAATATATTTTGCTAGAAAAAATAACAGCTCACAAAACAAGCAAACTATCAGCTTTTAATGAAACCTGGGATACATTCTTAACTTTCTTTAACCCAAATCTACCCCAAGATTAAGGCCCTGTGCATATCCACAGACCTCTGCTTTAACATCTATTTCCTGAACAATACAACACTCTAAATCTAACTAGTAGGGTATATTCTCAGACACAAACTTTCCTCCAATCTTCCATTCTGTTTTTCTCTCTTCCATCATTATTTTCTCTTCCTTTTTCTCTCTCTCTCTCATTTTACACTCATATTACATAACTATTATCATAATATTATACCACTAAGAGACTCTAACTAAATCCGTTGTTGTTGTTGTTATTATTATTATAAGGGTATATGTTATATATACAGAGGATGGCAGCCATAACAATAATAAACCGGAAAGGATTAGCAAGCAGGGGCGAGGACAAAACTAAAAAGAAAGAAAACTGATACCCTATTAAAATACCCATACCAAAAAAAGGTACTATCAAGAGCATGACCTCTGTTGACCTCAGGTTAGTGGCTCTCACCTCTCTAGCCAAGAAAGCTACGGAGAGGGTCATCAAAAATCATATTATTAAGATAACAGACTCACAGATGGACACACTTCAGTTTGCTCATCGCGCAGGTAGAGGGGTGGACGATGCAAAGGTTTTCATTACAGACACCATCCATAAACATCTGGATTCTCCTAACACGACAGCCAGACTCCTTTTCGCTGATTTCTCCTCGGCATTTAACACCCTGCAGCCACATATTCTAGCTGAGAAACTTTACTTTCTACCTAGACGACCGACTGATTTTTTTGGATGATCGACTTCCGTACCAACAGGTCACAGAGAGTTCTGGTCAATGACACATTATCTGATGTCCTGTACACATCAGCTGGTTCCCCGCAAGGCTGTGTCCTTTCACCTCTGCTTTTTATTCTTTACACCGATGACTGTAGGTCCGCCCAGTCAAACTGCCACTTGGTAAAGTACGCCGATGACACAGTTCTCCTATCTTTGCTTTCAGGCTCCCTACAGCACCACAGCTCAGCTCTTCAGGAGTTTGTGGAATTGTGTGATAAATCTTGTCTAGAACTAAATATGAAAAAGACCAAGGAGATGGCAGTGACCTTTTCCAACAAGCAGAAATTTTATTCAAACACGGAGGAGATCCTCAAAGAAATGCCAGCAGCGGCACTATCTCCTGAGGAAGCTCAACTCATTTGGGGTCAGCAAGGTCATCCTCAAAACGTTCTACTATTCCTTCATTGAGAGCGTTATGAAATTTTCCATCTCTTGCTGGTTCCACTCCATCACTCTGCAAAGCAGAAACCGCCTGCAAAACTCAGCTAAAGTCTGTTCCAAAATAATAGGACTTCCGGTCAGAGCCCTCTCCACTGTATGTGAGCAGCAGAGCTGGCAGGATTCTACAGGACCCCTCAGGACGTCTGCTGCAGAACTCGGAGGAGAAGGGCAACCTTTGTACCTAAGGCTGTCCAGCTCCTAAACTCCCAACCATCCCTGAACTCCTTCTTACCCCGATCACTACTTCCTTCACTCTGAAGGACTGTACTATATAGTACATAATTAATTATATTAATAATGTATGTTATTTCATTTAGTAATGCTGCTTTCGAGTTGTTGACAACGTTGATATACACTCACCTAAAGGATTATTAGGAACACCATACTAATATTGTGTTTGACCCCCTTTCGCCTTCAGAACTGCCTTAATTCTACGTGGCATTGATTCAACAAGGTGCTGAAAGCATTCTTTAGAAATGTTGGCCCATATTGATAGGATAGCATCTTGCAGTTGATGGAGATTTGTGGGATGCACATCCAGGGCACGAAGCTCCCGTTCCACCACATCCCAAAGATGCTCTATTGGGTTGAGATCTGGTGACTGTGGGGGCCATTTTAGTACAGTGAACTCATTGTCATGTTCAAGAAACCAATTTGAAATGATTCAAGCTTTGTGACACGGTGCATTATCCTGCTGGAAGTAGCCATCAGAGGATGGGTACATGGACATGGTCAGAAACAATGCTCAGGTAGGCCGTGGCATTTAAACGATGCCCAATTGGCACTAAGGGGCCTAAAGTGTGCCAAGAAAACATCCCCCACACCATTACACCACCACCACCAGCCTGCACAGTGGTCACAAGGCATGATGGATCCATGTTCTCACTCTGTTTACGCCAAATTCCGACTCTACCATCTGAATGTCTCAACAGAAATCGAGACTCATCAGACCAGGCAACATTTTTCCAGTCTTCAACTGTCCAATTTTGGTGAGCTCTTTTGTAATTTGAAATTGTAGCCTCTTTTTCCTATTTGTAGTGGAGATGAGTGGTACCCGATGGGGTCTTCTGCTGTTGTAGCCCATCCGCCTCAAGGTTGTGCGTGTTGTGGCTTCACAAATGCTTTGCTGCATACCTCGGTTGTAACGAGTGGTTATTTCAGTCAAAGTTGCTCTTCTATCAGCTTGAATCAGTCGGCCCATTCTCCTCTGACCTCTAGCATCAACAAGGCATTTTCGCCCACAGGACTGCCGCATACTGGATGTTTTTCCCTTTTCACACCATTCTTTGTAAACCCTAGAAATGGTTGTGCGTGAAAATCCCAGTAACTGAGCAGATTGTGAAATACTCAGACCGGCCCGTCTGGCACCAACAACCATGCCCCGCTCAAAATTGCTTAAATCACCTTTCTTTCCCATTCTGACATTCAGTTTGGAGTTCAGGAGATTGTCTTGACCAGGACCACACCCCTAAATGCATTGAAGCAACTGCCATGTGATTGGTTAATTAGATAATTGCATTAATGAGAAATTGAACAGGTGTTCTTAATAATCCTATTTATCTATTAATATATTAGGTTATCTAAAGATGACTTTATTTAACTTCTACTAATCTACAGTTCTTGCAATTGCCCCATGGGGATAAATAAAGTGTTTTGAAATTGTAAAATTATTTTTATTTCGCCTAAATCAGAGGTCACTAATAGGCGGACCGCAGTCCAGATCCGGACCAAGCTGCTGTCCTCCCCGGACCGCCGACCTACAGCCGATTTATTATTGAGACTTACTACCTCGTGACGGAGCGTTTCTATTTTAACCCGTGCAGCTTCTCTAGCATTTACTGTACTGGTTTAGCGGACCAGAAAACTCACAGACCTATCGCATGTGCTCCAGTCGTCTCATGTGACTCTGCTTAGCCAATCAAATCTGTGCATTCCAATGCTTGCAAGTCGAGTCCGCAAGATTCACCAGAGACGTTTTGGAAACACACACGAATTAAGGAGACAAAAGGGAAAAGAGATTTCACATGGCTTTTAATCAAGAATGTACGGATTTTTACATGTACATTCCTCCCACATCTCATAGAACTCCAATCCTAGCTGGCAGGACAAACTAGAGGTCACGTTTGTCACTGAACAAGCGAAAGTAGGAAAGTGGAAGCTCTGTAAGAGGGAATGAAATGGAAGAGGAGGCATTACAGCTGTTCATTTGTTATGATGTGTTGAGTGTTTATTATAAAATTGGTTAAGACTACACTTCATCACTTCAAGCTACACTTTTTATTTCATTTTTTCGAAAAATTAGGCACTTTATTTTAGTTTACTTATATTTAGAATTTATTATTAGAGTAGTTATTATTTATTATCCCTCCAGTTTGATGTGAAAACTGACAGAAATATTATTTGATTTGACAAAACATATGTTGATACAACTATACATTATGATACTGAATGATAACGCAAATTAGTCGTTTTGATGTTCCGGACCTTTGCTTCAGGGAATTTTTTCTAACTGGACCTCTTTGAAATATAATTGAATACCCCTGGCCTAAATGTTTGTTTATTGTTTGTTTTTTTATTTATTTTAATTATTATTATTATTATTGTTTTTTTAAGTGAATTATTTACTTTTCAATTTCTGCCTTCTATTCTCAAGCCCCCCTGATCGATACCGCTACTCTCACTCTCCCTCCTCTTACCAGGTTATAAAAGGAAAATATTAAAAAAAAAATATAGTAATAATAATTAATGAAAAATTATAGAAATAAAAAATAAAAAGAGACGTTTTATTCAATTAAATTTATATATATAATATTCTTCTATATATATATATATATATAATATTCTTCATTTAAGTTTTTTGTCCTTTTTTTCCCCCTTCTTGCTATTTTTGAATTTCTTTTTCTAGTTAATACCCCCTCCTTTTTTAGATTTTTTAATTCTTTTTTCTTTTTTTTACTTAAGTTCAAAGCATTTAATCTCTATACTTCCCAAATTAGTTTCCCCCACACAACCTTCATTTTTCTATCTCTTGATCATACACACACACAAACACACACACACCCCTACAAAATTGCCTTAAACATCCAACATGCTGTTATGTCTGTGCACATTTGTTTCTCGTTTCTGTTTTTGTTTTGCTTCATTTTCACCA